ACTCCACTCGGCGCTGCTTTCAGACTGGACAACAACAGGCCATAAAATATTAGAGGAATTAAGAACAAAGTTGAAATCAAAAAGAATGCATGTTTTATTATCTTATACATATTAGATTTCTGACTTATAGGTAAAATGAGAGCCGTCTATGCCATGAAGAGTAAAAGCAATGCGAAACAAATTAAAGCAAAACGAGATGCGTTGGGAGAAGCAGGATACGCCTCTTTCATATCTACATACTCTAACGAAATGGAATGCAAATTACCAGGTGAACACAAGAGTTTCTTCTTATTCTTATTCTTACCACCAGGTGAACACAAGAGCAAACTCAAGCAAGCGGAAGAGGTGAACGACCTCATGTTATTAGAACGTCGACCCCGGCCGAGGATGTGCCGACAAGAATATAAAGAGCCACAGGAGGAATTTAGAAGATTTTGGGAGACAGGAGGTGGAAAAGCAGCACAAGCGAAGAGTTTGCCGGCACAACCAAAGCAGCAGCGCAAGCGAAGAGCTAGAGCTGCCAGTGCAAAGGAGCCCAAGGAGAAGAAGCCGAAGGAGGAGGACCACGAGAAGCTCGAGCGGCAAAAAGAATACCAACAGCGAACAAGGCAGATCCAAGAACTCCAACAACAACTCCAACAAACAAATCAAGCAGTACTTTCTTTTCAACGGCCTCGAGAACCACAGGCGAACAGTTTCAACAAACAATCGTTCGAGGAAGGCGCTAAGCAAGCTAAAGAATCACTCGAATGGGGGATATCGCAAGCAACAGCAATGAACAAAGAAGCGGCCGCTCTAAACGCAGAAAGAGCGAAATTACAGCACCAGCATTACTTGGATACTACTCGCGGACCTCCTCCAGCTCAATCGCAAGGCCAGAGTCAATCGCAAGGCCAGAATCCGACCATGTTTGCACCTCCACAAACACCGCAGGCTCTTTTGCACGCACCAGCTCCAGCTGCACTGATGCTAGCAGCTGCAGCACATGCCCAGCATTACATGGATACTACTCGCGGACCTCCTCCAGCTCAATCGCAAGGCCAGAATCAATCGCAAGGCCAGAATCCGACCATGTTTGCACCTCCACAAACACCTCAGGCTCTTCAGGCTCTTTTTGCACTGGCAGCACCAGCACCAGCTCCAGCTGCACTGATGCTATCAGCTGCAGCACATGCAGCCGCAGCAAATGAAACCGCAGCAAATGCAGCCGCAGCAACCGCAGCAAATGCAGCCGCAGCACCCGCAGCAAACAGCGTAGCAGCACAGATAGCAACCCTAGGAACTCTCCTGTTGAATGGGGACATCACTCAAGCTGACTTCGCGCAACTCAAGGCGTCACTATTGCCGCCCCCGTGAATCATCACGCTCGGGTGCTTTCTCCCATGATGACTGCCTGTTCAACAGGAACACATGGGAGTTTTTAGCGATAACCCGGATCTTATTATACTAGAGTATCGGAATCTACGCTAGTTGCATACTACCCCGAGAGTCGTCTCCGCTCGTGCGAGCGAACCTGCCATCGCGAGTCCAAAATCAGCACTCTCGCGAGCCACTACACCGCAGCACGTCTCTCTATGCGGAAAGCAGCCACAACTA